CCAAAGTCCGCTGAGAGCCTGAGCCAGCCACTCCCTCCCCCCCCACAGCCCAGCGCTCCAGCGTGGGGGGCAGAGCAGACAGCGGTGACTGACAGTCACTGTTCTCTGCTCACAGCAGCTTTCAGAACTCAGCAATTATGTGATCGCAGATTTCTAATCCTTAGATTCGGCATCAGACTGATGCTGCATCCACCTAGGTAAATATAATTTGGGGAAAGAAAAAAAAAAACAAAAAAACACCACACTAGTGTTTTAAGTCGTGATTAATAAATTCTTCTAGTCTGCAAAGTGGTCAGACCGCCATGGTTCTTCAATCTGAAAGTTGTCAAAGCTCTAAAACTATAGAATACAAATTTAAGGCTAATTGGTGCTGCGCTCGCTCAAAGTCCTGAGGAACTCACTTAGCGGGACGTAATGCGTAGGGACGTGGTGACGCAATTTCCGGCGTGGACGCCATATTGGTACTCCTATACACATCCATGCAAGTACACTCACAGCATGTAGTTCTCTGTGCTTATGTAAAGGTTTAATACATGTGAGTGGGCATTCGGTTTTACTTTAAATTAAATAACTACGGTATCACACTATGGGAGCATCTCCCTATTTTTTCTGGCTGCATGTGAATTTTCTGATCCTTTATTGTACTGCTCTGGAGAGGGTTCCTGTTGTGCCAGTATCCATCAGTGAAAAGGATTTATCCAATCGCTGTGCCGGATACTTCTGATGTGGGTCCTGGTTCCTGGTTGGTGCGATATTGTGTGAGAAAAACTTTTTGGCCCTGTAGGGTCACTCCATGGAGGTGAGGGGGCATTTTGCCTAGTTTCGGACCTCCTCCTTTTTGTGTGTAATCACCTTTTAAACACGTGCACCATTTAGAAACTACAGAACACCTTCACCGTTTTACGGTGCATTGAATTTATGTTATTGGCTGCACTATATGGAGTTTATGCGATTCACTTTTTGTTGGGGCATTTATATATTTTGGGGGCTATTTCAAGTCCATATAAATCAGTCACCTATTCTATTATTTATTCATAAATCCCCGTTTTAGGGGGTCACTGTTTTTGGTTTTTCACTTCAATCCATTTGTCACTATTTTTACTTACAATCCGTAGGTTTTTTGATTATCTTCTTTAGCAACGGTTCTAGTTACATAAGTCTTGTGGCTTATTTTCACATTACAATAAGCACTGTATTTTTGGGATCCCATTTTATGGATCTTCTCACTTTTCATGTTGGCACGTTTTAATAGATATTAAGTAGTTTTTTATATTTTCACCCACAGTCCCTATTTATTATCAGTGGTGTACCTAGGTTACGCCTTTGTTTAGCTGTTTTTTCACTTTTACTATCCACATTTTCAGATGTTTTAGGTCTATTCTATATTGAGATCTGGTGATAATTTCTGATTTGATATATATAACCACTTTATTTTAGTTTATATTTATGAATTCGTACATTGAGAGGGGTACATTTTTAAGCGATTATATTATATGTTCTTATACTTGGAGATAGCGTAGCACCAATTAGCCTTAAATTTGTACAATTTTTCCATGTGGTAATTTGTTTTGGGGGTCAGGAGCTCGGGAGGACCACATAGATAACTTTATATACAACCTTCCTGCCATCTAGACTCCTCATTCTATATTCTGCACAAAGCATTACCAAAAAGCTTTGCATTATCCTTTTCTTTCCTTTGCAACTAGGGAGTCATTTGTGAGCCCAAAAGCCAAGTCAGAAACATTTAGTTCAAAGGTACTTTCAGATGTGAGATATCAGCTGCAGAACTTGGCTGTATTCAACTTGTATTGGAGACCATATTGGCTCAGGAACCACTCACAGATATGACTGCATAGTCCCTGCTGAGAACTAGTGAACAGAGGCAAGTTAGAATGTCTGTCCTAATTGCTACTGTCCATCCCTATAAGCTTGTGCTGGGAGAGGGAGTTTTAGAACACTCCCATATTTCCAGTTTGTATTGAAATTTATGTAGTTTAATGCCTCAATGTACTCTGAAAACAAAGCATAAAACAAACAATTGGGCATAAAAGAAATCATGGAATAATTTAGCAAAACGTAATTAAATTGAACTCAAACATTTTTGACAAATGTTTTGCAGATATAACAGCCAAACACATTTGTGGCATTCTTTCTACAGCAGATATTAAATATTTTTTGTAAACTTCTTCCCAACAATGTTGCAGAAGTTCCCACAAATATCTTGCACTTGTAGGCAGTTTTGCTTTTACCCTTCTGTCCAGTTCATCCCAAACCAGCTCAATGGGGGATAAGTCTGGAGACTGTGTTCGTTCTGACACAGCCTAGAGGTATATTTTGGGTCATCATCCTGCTGTAGGATGAACCCCTGACCAACTAGACATATTTCAGAGCATTGCATGACACTGCAAAATGCTGTGGTAGTAGTATTGATTCAGAGTACTGCATGACACTGCAGAATGCTATGGTAGTAATACTGATTGAAAGTGCCACCCACTCTGTGCAAATTGCTGACTCTGGATCCAGTAAGAGTCCCAGACCACCACTCTTCCTCCTCCATGTTTGACAGTTGGTGTCACACACTGAGGAACCATTCTTTCACCTACTCGACCGTGTATTTATAAAAAAAAAAAAAAAAAAAAAGAACCCATATGATGAAACAAAGTTCTCAAATTTTGACTCATCGCTCCTTAAGACCTCCTTCCAGTTTTCAGTAGTCCACTAGCAGTGCTTCATGGCCCATGGAAGCCTTTCTTATTTTGCCATCTTAGCAGAAGCTTTCTTACAGCCACTTGACATGTCACACCTGCAGCTCAAAGTCTTCTCTTCACAGCGGATACTGAGACTTGCTTACTTCAATCAGTGTTAAGCTGTGCTTGAAGCTGCTGTCCTGTGAGCCACCTGTCACACAAGCTGTTGATTCTCAGAAACTTGTCTTCTGATTCTGTTGTGGCATTGGGTCTGCCAGACGTCCTCCTGTGAGAATTTCCTCCAGTTTCCAAGTACCTTTTGATTACTTCCCTAAAAAAGGCCTTTTTTATACAACTCTAAAATGTACATTATTTTTCAGTTTTTGTTAAAGGATAAATTTTTCATCTTTGGAACAAGTTACATGCTCCACCCATATTTAGGGTGGAACATGTAACATGTTCCAGCTCCTGCCTTCTCTCCCCGGATCCCCCCTCCCTATGACAGCTGGTGAGTGATCCTCTCCCTGTACCTGCTGTCAGAATTTAAAAACAGTGTGGCCATGCGGGGAATTCATTCAGCGCTCTGTGAATGAGCAAACTACAAATACTGTTGGCCGCCGCAGCCAACGGCTGTAGTTCTCAATAAACTACTTGGGCGCTGGTGAGTGCTCTTGTAGTCCACAAATTCTTCCTGTAATTCAGTAAATGTCTGCCAATATGGGAGGTACAAGCAGACCGCTGACAGTCGTCAGGAACCTGGCATAGCACGCACCAATGATCAGCAGATTGTGGATGCAATGCCCTGCAGTATACAAAAGGGAAAAAAAAAGCAAATTTTTATTGCCTGCAAAAAGATGTCCAGTTTTGTTTTTTTTGTTTTTATTTTTAAATAAAAAGGTGAACTTCTCCTTTAACACTTTTTTCACCTCTGGCGGTTTACCTTTGCACCATTTCAGGTTATTCACGGGAGTTAAAACTGTTTAAATTTCAACAAAACTGGAAAAATGGGGTTCTAAAACTTTTGAGGTGTAGGTGTGTGTGTGTGTGTGTGTGTGTGTGTGTGTGTGTGTGTGTGTGTGTGTGTGTATGTATGTGTATGTGTGTGTGTATGTATGTGAAATCTCCTTCCTGTCTATAGGGGCAGGAGATTCATTCCCATTGCCTGGAAAAAAAAAAAAAAAAAAAGAGTTTTGTATACAAGTAGTAAGTGAAAAGGGAGCAAGAGTAAATCCCATAAAAATACCTCAAACAAGTGCCATATGATACGGATACAGTTGATATGATCCTGGCTACAAAAAAGTGGTCTCTTTGAAACAACATTTTGAACATGATTCACAAGCCTATTGACTGTGTGATAGAAAGCAAAATACATGAAGCTTGGAGGAAAAGAGATTTAACCTTCATGTACAAAAACTGTAAGAGCTGTGGAAAATGTGAAAGACTCCTTCAAGAACCAGTTCTTGCCAGCTCAGTAGATGGGTTTAAAAAAAAAGTGCTGAATGCATTCTTAAATGCACAAAACATAACGGGATACTAAGTTTTAGAGACAATAACAGCAGGGGTAGTTAATCCAAAGAACACCATCTTGCCTCATGGGGGAAATGATCAGGAAGGATTTTTTTTTCCATCAATGGAGTGAATTGGATCATGCTATATTGGATTTCTTGCCTTCCTCTCTATCAATTGTGGATATATATATATATATTTTTTTTATTTTTTTTTTTTTATTTCTTAGGCCCCATGTACACGGGACACTTCTGAACGATGGAAACGGACTGCTGGAAATCATAGGTTAAAAAACGTCTGTTTAGCTGCGTTTGCATAACGTGTTTACGTTTAGAAGAGCTTTTTTTTAAAGATAAGCACTTGAGAACCCCCCAAATGCACTGAAAAGTGGTAAAAAATTAGTAACTATTTCAGAGTAGAAGCAGAGAGAGCAGCATGTGTTGAGATTAGCTTAGGTGTGAGTTGCTCATTAACGTTTCTTTTGTTTCCAAGGGTGGGAAAGGTGTCTGGTGGAGTGAGTTTTGTCCATCTGAGTAACTTGAAAACGCTTTGCATGCATTTTTTCATGATGAAAAAAGGCTCTGGACAGCATCGGGAACTGGAAGAGTTAAAAAAAAAATTTCAAACGTTTATAAACGCGATTTGCCGCATTTACAAGCGGTTTTCGTTTGAAACGCTAATAAAATCGACGCTGAACACAAGTTTTCTGCATTCAAAAAAATTACTGTAAACTCAAATGCCTGTAAACGAAGATGTGTACATGGACACACAGGAAAACATTTGCAGTGTACACGAGCCCTTACCTGAAAAGAGTTCTGGTGCCATGTGTATAGGAGTTCCCACAATGCTGCCAGACATCATAGCCTCTGGCTTGCAGAAACCCAGGTCTGTGATCTTTGCTCTGTTCTTTTTGTCCAACTGTGAAAGGGAAAAAAAAAAAAAAAAAAAAAAAAAAAAAAAAAAAAAAAAAGAAGAGTCAAGTACTACTACAACTCCAAAAACGTTGGGACGTTGTTTAAAGTCTACATAAAAACAGAATGCAAGGATTTGCAAATCTTATAAACCTTTATTTTATTCACAACATGTATGAAAAAAGGGGAACACTGGAGACTCTGGTGTAAAGGGGAACTCTGATTCTGGTCACCAGAGCCCCCTCACATCAGAGTCTGCAGCATTCCCCTTCACATCAGGGTTCACAGAGTTCCCTCTTGCACTGTAAGGGGTAATCTTGCAGATTCTGTAAGGGAAACTCTGTGGACTCTTGTGTAAAAGGGTGGGGGGGGGTGGTGCTCTGGTGACCATAGGCCCCCTTTACTTCAGAGTTTCCCTTAACACCAGAGTCCGCAGCATTCCCCTTTGCATCAGAGTCCACAGTGTTCCCTTTTACGTCAGGGTCCACAGAGTTCCCCCTTGCACTATAAATGGGAACACTTCAGACTTTGACGTAAGGGGTGACCCTGTGCTGGGTTAAAATAACCTGGTCTTCATGTAAAAGGATAAAAATGTTTTGCCTTTTGTTATACCTTAAGCACATTGCTAATTGCACTAGCTACAGGTTAGAAGCTAACATATTGATACTGCACTGAAAATGGTCATTTTTGCTAATTTTTGAACGGTCAGAAAAAAAAAATGACTGTCAGTAAATTGTGTGACATGTCAGTAAAATTTCACTTCAGAAGGATGACAGGCCTGCTTGTCACCCAGCGGACATCTACCAAATGCAACCACATCAACCTTGTGAAAAGTAAAAAAAAAAAAAAATTCATAAAAAATGACCTGGTCAGTCTTAAAAACTAGAGACATCATGATTTGCTTTTGAAGCTCGACTTGCTTTTGCCTGCCCTAGCAGAATGAGCAAAAACTGAAAAGGGGAGTTTTAGATTTCACAGCATAAACATAGGAGATGACCCAGTAAATCCATTTAGGAATAGTAGAGGCGCAGGCTGCCATACCCTTAAAAGAACCTACTACAATGACAAACAATGAATATTTTTAGAGTTTCAGAAAACAGCAAGTACAATGTAGAAAGCAGCTTTTTTCTTCTATAGTTAGTCTATGTGAATGAGAACATAACAAATCTAAAGTGGAGGTTGACCTAATGTGGCTACAAAATTGGAAATACACTTTAAGGCAAGGTTGAGCTTTTCAGAAACAACACCATAATCCTCATTCGGGGAAAGAGCAGGCCAACAAGATTTTTCAAAAGTACGCTTCTGCAGGGCTGAAAAAACTACATTCAGATCACTAGAAGGAGGGACAGAATAAACTGGGGGAACCACACGAGTCACTCCTTCTATAAAACGTTTGACCAAGGAATGACTAGCTAAAGAATGTAGCGATAGTAACATCAGAGTAGACAACGCAACATGATAGCAAAAAAGTCTCAATGTAAGCATTGATAAACCTGTGCCTGTAAAAATGAAAAAATTCTAACACATGAAAGAGCCTGTTAATTCTCAGGGACTCACTCCAAACAAAGAAGGACCTTCCAGGTCCTAAGGAAGATTGCCCTATGTTCTTTTTACATCAATCACATAACCAATTCTGCTAGAATACCATTACTCTAAAGCTCAGCTTTAACAACAGACACCAGGGGGCATCTGTAAACAGACAGATTATATTTAATTACCAAGTGCTTTGTGTTCAATCTTAGGCTGCAAGAATAACGAGGGTATAACCCTATGAAGCAGAAGTCTCAGTATGTACATTAGACTGTACCTATGCCACACATGCACTACTCAGGCATCCATTACTTCCACTAACAAGACCTTTGTCTTTGCAAGAAAACCTGTCTCCTCTTTTCAGATGGGACACCATCAGATCTGCATCTGGTGTCCACTAGCGGACAGATCTAGTAAGATATTTCCTTGGGCAATTTTCTAGGATCCAGGGGCCACTAGCCTAGGCCCCAGGTGATCTACCTATTCATTCTCAACATGTGGTATGTACACAGCTCATAAAAGCTGGAACATGTTATTCTGCTCATAGAAGGATGTAATCAATGCAAGGAACAAAAGATTTATACAGGTTATAAAATTAAAAGAAGAAAAAAAAAGTCTGTTAAGATGAGATGTCAATATAAATTTTTAAGCGTTTTGTAGAGTAGTGAGCTTCAAACAGAACAGTGTACACACAAAGTAAATGTCCTTTAGCATCAACATAGGTATTATTGCTATTCTCACCAGAACATTCTTCAATTTGATGTCTCTATGGATCAGGCCCTGACTATGCAGAAAACGGATGCCTTCCACCACATCTAAACCAACTTGTAACCGTTCCTCTAAAGACAGACCAGCCTAGGAGAAAATGGAAGGTGGATAAGTTGCTTGTACAGTCACCAACACATTAAAAAGATATAGGACTTAAATTGTATTTTCCCAATAAACCTAAAATATATGTAACCTTCTAATAAAAAAAACATGCAACTGCTCTATGATATGCAAAATTGAAATCTAGAATTACTATGGTGGTGTCTTTTGAACAAAAAAAAATTGAAGAACACAATTTTAAAGCTGAACTCCAGGCTAAGGAAAAGTTACCCTTGCAGTGGGGCACATTTTGCCTAGGGAAAGAAATACATTTAAATACTTGCCTTATTCCTCACCACTGCAGACTTTGGCCCCTTTGTAAGATGGGGCCCCTAGGCTCCATGCACAATAGCTTAAAACACTCCTAGCAGCAGCATTTGCCATTCTCCATTTCCTGCCTCTAGAAGCAACTACTGTTATCCTACATGTCCATGCACACTTTGCAGTCTAGAGGCGTTTAAGCTCAGCATTTAGGAGCAGAAAAAAAACCTTATGGTTTGCGTTTCTGAGAGAGATTTTCTGACAGGAAAAAAAAAACAAACAAAAGACACCCTGAATGCTCCTAAATGCTGCCATGTGCTGTAAATAAAGGGTTAAGGAGCAGGCAGCTGCCGCGTCCTTAACAACCGAGGACTCATAAGCTGTCAGTGGGATTCCCAGCTGAATTATTATTATTATACAGTATTTATAAAGCGCCAATAGTTCGCTCAGCGCTGTACATTACAAAGGGAGACAGAACATGTGACAGAACAATACCAATACAATGCAAAACATGAGGGGATCAAGGGCCCTGCTCTTTCGAGCTTACAATCTAGGAGGGAGGGGGTGGTGGCACAGGAGGAGATAGCTGTGGGGGATGGAGTGGTAGGAAGAGTGGAGGAGGTCGGCAAGTTAGCAGGGGGTGGGGTAGGCTTCCCTGAAGAGATGGGTTTTCAGGGTGCGCCTAAAGGAGAGGAGAGTAGGTGATAATCTGATGGGTTGGGGCAGGGAGTTCCAGAAGGATGGGTGACACTCTGGAGAAGTCCTGGAGGCGGGCATGGGAGGAGGAGACCAGGGAACTAGAGAGAAGGAGGTCTTGTGAGGAGCGGAGTGTGCGTGTTGGGCGGTACTTGGATATTAGGTCAGAGATGTAGTACGGGGCAGTATGGTGGACAGCTTTGTACGTCAGCGTTAGGATTTTGAATTTGATCCGTTGCGCAATCGGAAGCCAGTGGAGGGATTGGCAGAGGGGGGTGGCGGAGACAGAGCGGTTGGAAAGGTGGATGAGTCTGGCAGCCGTGTTCAGGATGGACTGAAGAGGGGATAGCCAGCGGCGAGGCAGGCCAGTGAGGAGGGAGTTGCAGTAGTCGAGTCGTGATATGATGAGGGAGTGGATGAGCTGTTTAGTGGTTTCTGGGGTTAGGAACGTGCGGATTTTGGCGATGTTGCGGAGGTTGAGTCTGCACGAGTTTGTTAAAGATTGGACTTGGGGCTGGAAGGATAGGTTGGAGTCCAGAATGACACCCAGTACTCTGGCCTGCAGGGCGGGTTTGATGGTAGCGTTGTTGGATGTGACGGAGAAATCAATGGGGGGTGGTGTCCGGGCTGGGGGGAAGACAAGAAACTCGGTTTTTGGAGAGGTTCAATTTAAGGAAGTGGAGCGACATCCAGTCTGATATGTCGCTCAGTAGGTGTGTGTGATTCCGGCTGAGACCAAGGGGGTGAGGTGGGGGGTTGAGAGATAGATTTGTGTGTCGTCGGCATAGAGGTGTTAGTTGAAGCCGTGAGAGTGTATGAGTTGGCCAAGGGAGGAGGTATAGATGGAGAAGAGAAGGGGCCCGAGGACAGAGCCTTGAGGGACCCCAACAGAGAGGGGGGAGTGAGGGGGAGGTGGTAGCATTATAGGTAACGCTGAAGGAGCGTTGTGACAGGTAGGATGAGAGCCAGGAGAGAGCAGAATCTCTGAGGCCGAGGGAGTGTAGTTTTTTGAGAGGAGGAGGGGGTGGTCGACTGTGTCGAAGGCCGCAGAGAGGTCAAGGAGTAGGAGCACTGAATAGTGGCCATTAGCTTTGGCGGTTAGCAGGTCGTTGGAGAGTTTGAGTAAGGCAGTTTCGGTGGAGTGTAGGGGACGGAAGCCGGACTGTAGGGGATCGAGGAGGTTGTTGTCGTTGAGGTGAGAGCATAGGCGGGTGTAGACGAGGCGCTCGAGGAGTTTAGATGTAAATGGGAGCAGGGAGATGGGTCTGAGGTTGTTCGGGTCATTGGGGTCCAGGGAGGGCTTTTTAAGTATGGGGGTGATGTGTGCATGTTTCAGAGGGGAGGGGAAAGTGCCTGAGGAGAGGGAGAGATTGAAGATGTGGGTGAGAGAGCGTAGGATGGAGGAGGAGGAAGGTCGTAGGAGTTGTGAGGGGATAGGGTCGAGGGGGCAGGTGGTGAGGCGGGCATCAGAGAGGATCTTGGAGACTTCCTCGATGGTAGTAAGGTCAAAGGTGTGGAGTGATGGGGGAGCTTCAGTATGAGGAATGTAGGGTGGGGTGGAAGAGGAGGTCAGAGCAGTGGTGGGGCCGTGGGAGAGGGGTGATGAGGGGGTAGCTGAGTGAGGGTGAAGGGGGTTGGAGAGAGTTTGAGCAGCGACGAAGTCCCTGCGGGTTATGTCGAGGGGGAGGGGGGATAAGGGGGTAGCTGTGTGAGAGGGGACGGGTTGAAAGGGTGTGTGAGTTGCGGCAATGTCCTTGCGAATTGTGTCAATTTTGTTTTTGAAGTGATTGGCAATCTCAAGGGCAGTGAGTGAGGTGCTGGGTGGAGGTGGGGGTGGAGAGAGTAGAGAGTTGAAGGCAGAGAAGAGTCGGCGAGGATTGGAGGAGAGGGCCTTGATGAGGGTCAAGAAGTAGGCCTGTTTGGCAGCATGGAGGGAGGAGGTGTAGGTGCGGAAGGCAGATTTGTAGCGGATGAAGGCTTGTTGGGATTTGGTTTTGCGCCATAGTCGCTCCAGGGCACGACTTTGTCGTTTGAGGGTTTTGGTGTGATCAGTCTGCCAGGGCTGGAGCGGTCGGGGTCTGATGTTGCGTGTGGTTAAAGGCGCTAGTGAGTCGAGGGCTGTTGAGAGCGCATTGTTGTAGGCGGTCAAAGCCAAGTCGGGGCAGGACAGGGGGAGGATGCGGTCGTGGAGTTGATCAGCTGCGGAGTGGCGGGAGGCAGGGTTAAGGTTGCGGAGGTTACGGCTGGTAGTAGTGTGACATTTGGAGGGGTAGGCGTTGGAGGACGAGGAGATAGAGAAGGTGATCAGGTTGTGGTCAGAGAGAGGGAAGGGGGTGTTAGTGAGGTTGTGGGGAGCGCAGCGGTTGGAGAAGACAAGGTCCAGGATATTTCCGTCGGAGTGGGTGTTGGATTGTATGCACTGTGCAAGTGCAAAGGAGGAGGTTAGGTGGAGGAGACGGGCTGTGTCCGGGTTGTCGAGGTTGACAGGGATGTTGAAATCCCCAAGAATTATGGTGGGTAGCTCAGAGGAGAGGAAGAAGGGTAGCCAGGAGGAGAAGTCATCCAGGAAGCGGGGTATGGATCCAGGAGGCCGGTATATCACAGCAATCTTCAGGGGGGTTGGGGAGAATAGTCGGAGGCAGTGGGCCTCGAAGGAGGAGAAGGATAGGGAGGGGGGGTTTGGGAGGACTTGGAAGGTGCTCTGCGGTGACAGGAGCAGACCAACCCCGCCACCTTTACGACCGTTAGGCCTGGGTGAGTGGGTCCAGGTGAGACCTCCGTAGGAGAGTGCAGCAGGGGAGGTAGAATCAGTGGGCTGGATCCAGGTTTCCGTGATCGCTAGGATGTTGAGGGAGCGGGAAACAAAGAGGTCGTGGATGGCGGTAAGCTTGTTGCACACCGAACGGGCGTTCAGGAGTGCACATGAAAACGGGGGGGAGATTTTAGGGAGCAGGGGGACAGATACTAAGTTGTGGGGGTTGCAGTAGGACGTGGAGGTGGGAGGGTGTTGAGCGGGTGAGGGAGGTGGAGGGCCAGGATTCGGGGAGATGTCCCCCGCGGCTAGGAGGAGGAGAAGGGTGAGAAAGGTGGCATGGGAGCGGGATGTGCAGGAGCGTGAGAAACTCCTAGTGGAGGTGTTGGGGTCAGTGGGAGAGCGGAGTAATAGGAGGAGGTGGTGGGTGCCATAGAGGGGTGAGGGAAGCAGTGAGGACACGATATACAAATGTTTGGGAGGGGCAGAGGGATATAGTGAATGGATTTTGGGAACGGAGGAGAGGAAAATGAGAAGGAGGAGGAGTGGAAGAGACATTTTGGGGAGGTGAAGAGAGCAGTAGTAGGGAGATGATAGCAGTGAGGGGGAGATGTACAGGTTGTGAGGTGGAGCAGAGGGGTAAAGGAATGAGATTTGGGAACAGAGGGTAGTAATATGATAAGGAGAAGAGGGGTGTATTATATAAAGGTACACAGAGTGGGACTCAGGCATGTAAAAGGTTTCCCAAGGTGTTTGCTTGCAGTCTTCCAGCATGCAGTAGAGCTTCTTGCTGTTGTTGTGTCTTCCTGCTGCTTGAGTTCTCCCGCTTTAGTTCAACTGCTGCGTTTAACTGCTTCTTCTATGCACTCGTTCAAAGCCGCACTCAATCTGAAGCAGCACCCCCCATCAGAGACTGTGATGAAATCATGAGGCAGAACAGTGGCTAAGTGCCCAACCACAGGACTACCTGCCTTGGAGTTTGCATGTTCCCCCTATGTCTGTTTGGGTTTCCTCCTACACTGCAAAGACATGGCCATAAGTAATTGGATTCAGTCTAAATTGGCCCTAGTGTGTATGAATGCGAGTTAGCAAACTTTAGGCTGTACGTTCCTTGAGGGCAGAGACTGATGAAATTTGCAAAAAAATAAATAAAACACACACACACACACCTCACATTTTTGTAAATATTTTATTATATCTTTTCATGTGACAACACTGAAGAAATGACTAAACACACCTTCATGATGACCACTGCCATGCTAAAGAAGCTAAGGGTAAA